GTGGAAGCTTTCCAGACATATTTGGAATGTCAAACGAATGTCGAATCTAACATGTTTATAATCAAATCACGCGTATCAATAAGACGAATCCAACAAGCCCATGATTGCTTAATTACAACATCATTATGATACTCAAATATCAGATAAACGTCGTTTGATCGATGGAATCTTACTGGGTCATTTGATCATAATGATTTGGATTCCTTCATTAAAGCAACAACGATTCAATAAATGGGGCTCTGCCCCCCTCTTGAGAGAGACTAGAACTTGAAGCTTGAAGAAAACTAACGCTTAGGGAACATATATTTTTGCTTTATTTATGGATGCACTTTGATGTATGTTTTTGTTGGAGATATCCTTCTTGTGGATAATATTAGAGAAAGAGTTTAGGAAAAACTTAAATTTAGGAGGTTGATATTGCAGTCCGAAGTACTTCGTTTGAGTAGATCAAGAACTGAATACTTGAATTGTAATTTTAATAGGAGTAGCACTAGTAGCAGAGTTGTAACCACGGGTGATCAAATCATTTGAAAGATGTGAACCTTCAAGATATCTCGGGTCTCTTGTTCAAAGCGATTGTGATATACACGAGGATGTGATTAATTAATAGATTTTAAGTTGGTTGGTTTGAACTTACATAATCTCTGCTCGAAATTGGATCGTTTAACAACTTAGTATGTTCGAAAATCATTAAATGGTCGAACATTGACTCATAATTGATTAAAGTGTCTCTCTTTAATATTGTATGTCATTCTAGCTACACCATCCCACACAAAGATATATTTATTTCATATTTTTTCTCCAAGTGAAAAGCCAATCGTAAACCTCATGCAGATCACTAGATTTAAGTTGCAGATAAAATGTGAACAAAATATATTCGTGAATGAGTTGGTCTAGTTATGGTGAAAAACAAAATTAGTGATAAATTATTGATAAATGTTAGCCGATTATCAATCTTTGAGAGCCCTAAAAACCTCGGTAAGTTATTAACGTTTTGATTTCAAACTTAGCTATTGTTGGCTCTACGGAAATCTGAGTCATAATTAAAATCAGTCAATTTACGACCGGTAATTGTTGTTTCGGATTAAGAAAAAATTATTCTAACGGTTTATTTTGACTTTAAGATGTATTTTTTCTAATATTTTATGCAACTGTAGCTACTTCAACCCTATCATAGGCATATTTGTTTCGTATATTGTTTCCAACTGAAAAGCTAATCATAGAACTAAACATGTTCGTCGCTACAACCCCTTACGTGATTGATTGAGCATCTGAAAATATATTCTTAAAAGGAAATATTTTATAAGATATGAGAATTTTCACTGCATTCTCCAATGCAAAGTCTAGATTTCATAGTCAGAATGAAAATCCACTTCAAAATCTAATCCGTTAATTCCAAGATGGAAATTCTCATTAAAATCTAAATCTCATTGCTGCAATTCATATTTTAGCTATGCAAATTAGATTTCTTATCATAACCGACTGATTGTGGTCGTAAAAAAAAAATCTAAATTCCTGTAATGAGTACCATAAATTTAATAGGAACAAATATACATTTCTTATATTATATATGGATGACATACTCCTTACCAATAATAATATAAATTTAATGCATGAAACCAAAAGATTTGTATTAAAGAAACTTGAAATGAAAGATCTTGGTGATGGATCCTTTATCTTATGTATGAAAAGATATTGTGGCCGTGCTTATGGTATACTTGGGTTATCACAAAAAAAAATCTATATAGAAAATTACTTAAAATATTTAGCATGCAAATTTGTAAATCACATAAGACACCTGCTCTGAGTAAGATAAGTTTCAATCATTGCCCTAAAAATAATCTTGAAGTTAACGAAATGTAAAAGATTTCTTACGCATCATCTATTGGTAATCTAATGTTTGTTCATGCATATACATTTCCATATATAGCAAATATATATATATATATATATATATATATATATAGTCATACATATTAAAAATACTGTCACTTTCACATGCGATCTTTGACATAATATCTTCATTTAAGCAAACATAAAATAAGTATTTCTCAAGTTTAAGATCCAATTTTGGCATCACGTGAGGAGCCTGTTGCCCTCGTGACCCCCATGCCCCAATTTTACATACATACCCTACAATTTCTATGTATTTACACATCTACCACTTAAAATTCAATTTTTACATATTCATCACATGAACCAAGCATGAAAAAGCTGTATTTCATTTCTTAAGAGTTAAAATAGTAGTATTCTTTTACGTGATATGAAATATTTGGCGGACATAAATGTAAAGAATGTAAATTATATGTGCTTGATATGTAAATATATATATGAATTGGGGGTGATATGTATAAATAATAATAAATAATTAAGGAAGTTGATCCACCATTGTGCATGTGGTTAGGAAAGGGTGATTAGGGAGGAAGGAATCTGGCCTTGTGGGATGAGTGATTGTAGACCACATGGAACTTTATAGAATGACATAATTATATGGTTTAATTTTATTATGATTGCGTGCATTTATATTAAGTTTAATTAAACAATTCAAAAAATTCAAATAAATAAATAAATAAATGTTTTGATGGTAGTAAGAGCTGAAATTAATACATGCACCGTGCATGACTAGGGCTGTCAAAAAAGCTCGTTGTTCGCGAACAGTTCGTGTTCGGTTCGTCAATGAGTTCGTGTTCGATTCGTTCGATAAGTAAACGAGACAAACACGAACAAATTTTTTTCGTTCGGTTAGTTAAACGAACCAAACACGAACAGTGATGCGTTCGTTCGTGTTCGAATCGTTATTATTTGAAATATAAAATAATATAAAATAATTATATATAAAAAATTTATTATATTTTAAAACATTAAATTT